CAGGTCTCTGTATAGAATACAGTGGTGCCTCGCTTAACGAGCGCACCGTACAACGACGAAATCGCATAGCAATCCCTTTTTTGGGATCGCTAATGCGATCGCTCAACGACTTTTAGATAGAGCGAAACTCGCTTTACGAAGATCGGTAAGCGTTTCGCTTACCGATCTTCGCAAAACGAAGCCCCGATGATCAGCTGTTTGGCGGACAAAATGGCCGCTCGAAGCCCCAACATGGCAGCGCGCAGCGTTTTCGCACCCTCCCTTTGCTTAACGAGGGCGCGAAAATGGCTGCCAGCCATAGGAAACTTCGCTGAACGGTGAGTAAAGGAGCCTATTGGAACGCATTAAACGATGTTTAATGCGTTCCAATGGCTTTCCCTGTCCCGTTCAGCGATGTTTCACTATAGCGAAGGTTAATCCGGAACGGATTAACCTTGCTATGCGAGGCACCACTGTACACCATTTCATACCATCAGTGGCTCTGCACAAACCCCACTAGGGCATTAGTTCTATGAAGGCACCATGTGCTCTTATGGATGACCTAATGGGAGCAGCTTTATCCTCACCTAAATAGGCCACAGAGTTAGATCCTCAGCTGCCAATTTACAAACACCCCCCCATGGCAACCTCATGTACATATAATTGGGAGAGCAGCCTAAATGAATTAAGTGGAATTTCCTTCCGATTTAGACATGCCTTCTTCATCTGGACTGGTGATCTAATTATGCAGCTCTGGGCAAAACATAATCCTGCTGGGAAATTTCATGCAGAAATATGCGCATGAAGTGTATTCTGTATGAGCATCCTATTTGCTTTGAATGGCAAGGACTACTCCAGGCCTGCTGAAGGATCTGTGCACAGAGCTTTTTTCCTCTGCTGCAAAAGCTAAAAAGCCTTTTTGCACAGGAAATGCATCTGTACACTGGATCATAAACGGAGTTCTAGAACTGAGCACACATAATGGATGTCAGCTGCTGTGGCATCAGGTTCCCTGTGCTGAGATATGTTTCCGCTATTTCTTTATTTATTTGGCTTTTACACAGCCCATCTAGATAAATCTACTCTGCTATGCAAAGATCATCAGGAAGAGTATGCTTTGCTGTCAGGGATTAGCATTGTTCTGAGCTAATGAAGAAGAGGTGAACAGCATGTGTTTATTTATTTAAAATATTTTTAACCTGCCTTTCTCCATAAAAGGACTGAAGGTGGTTGAGGTCTGTAATGGCTGAGGTCTGCCAATAAAGCATGTTACAACCTTTATCTTCTGCCTACATCTCTCCCTATTATCACCTGTGGCCAATGACATTTCCTGGTAGCTTACTCCTGTTACATTAGGATACAGTCTATGTATTTATACACAACTGTGTTACACGAAGCCAACATGTCACCTGTGCTCTCACTGTAAGTTGCCATCTTACAACTGCAAAGTGTCGCAGCAGTCCAATCTGAGGTGAGAAACACTACTATCTGGAGACAGGGACAACGAGAGGAAATCTAAATCTGGGTTCACAATTCATCCCTTGATGATTGCTGCATGAGCTGATGGCTTCCAACGAGGCACCTCCCTTATGAGGAAAGGCTACAGCGTTTGGGGCTCTTTAGTCTAGAGAAAAGGCACCTGAGGGGGCGGACATGATTGAGATGTATAAAATCATGCAGGGGATGGATAAAGTGGATAGAGGGAAGCTCTTTTCCCTCTCACGCAATACCAGAACTAGGGGACATCCACTCACATTGAGTGTTGGGAGAGTGAGAAGAAACAAAATAAAGTATTTCTTTACCCAGCGTGTTGTTAGTTTGGGGAACTCCTTGCCACAGGATGTGGTGATGGCATCTGGCCTAGATGCCTTTAAAAGGGGATTGGACATATTCCTGGAGGAAAAGTCTATTGCAGGTTACAAGCCATGATGGGGATGTACAATCTCCAGGCTTAAAAGGAAGGTACCTCCAAATGCCAAATGCAGGGGACGGACATCAGGAGACAGGAATCTAGTTGTCTTGTGTGCTCCCAGAGGCATCTGGTGTGGCCACTGTGAGATACAGGAATCTGGACTGGGTATTTCTTTACCCTTGGCCTGATCCAGCAGGGCTCTTCTTATGTTCTCATATAACAGGCAAGAGTCAGGAGCTGCAGAGAATTGTTGAACCACCTTGGACAGTATTTTTTGGTCAGTGAAGGCGTGTTCACACATGCTGTTGCCTTAGTCTTCTGTATATATATGTACATAAAGTAAATCTGAATAAGGCTAATCAGACTCTGCCCCTCCCAATATATATGGAGCCATGGTTATTTTCCAAAACAAATCATCAACAACCCACTAAATGATCTTAAAAGCAATTTTCACAAGACAGTAGTAGCATACAATAAGGAGCAGGAAAGAGGCAGATGTGTTGCTTGGTGAAATTGCTTCAGGCAGAACACAGATGACTGTAATCTCTCGTCCTTGCCACTCCCTTCCTTTCTATTACAAAAGGATAAAGCTGCTAGAATTCAGACAAACACATAACTCTTTAGCATGTATGAGGATATATATTTATAGACAGAAAGACAGATAATTACAGGTTGGCTGCAATTTTGTTGTTTGGTAAAGTAAGCAGAAAGGAGATAGTACATGCAATTTCTGAAATTCTGCTCTGCTTTTCTGTTTTGACCTTTGGTATTTGTACGTTATCGATGCTTTCTCTAAACCATTGTACAAAAACACCTTGAAGTGTCAAGCTTTAAAAATGAGTCTTCTTTTCTCTTTCTCCGGTGCAGCTTGGATTATCTTGGCCTTGTCAAAATACATTCTCTAGTTAGAGGTTGGAAATATTTCCCTCCTGGCTCCTAAGTATTGATTTTTTCAACACTCGGCTCTGTCTGTCAGCAGAAGAGGTGAAAGGTGAAAGTTCATCCAGCACTGCCTGGCTTTACCTTCCTATTAATGTCATGCCCTTTCTTCGTTTGATCAGTTTATGTGATCACCAGTAGAATGGTTACTGTGCAAATTTTACCTATAGGAAAAATATTTAAGCCATCAATTATTTTAACACAGGAACGCACCTTGAGAATCAAGAGGTGCTTAAAGTGCAACAATTACAGATATACTTCCATGATTATCCTGCCTCCTGTTATGCAACAGCTACCTCAGCCCTTCCTGTCCTGCCTTTATCTATGGAAACCTCAAGAAAATGAAAAAGGCTGACTTAATTATTTGCTACGAGGCTTTCCAAAGAATATTTAGTCTAGTAATGCCACTGGTATAGAGATCCAAGTTCAAAATTGCTAGAGGAAGAAAACATGTTATGCTACATTCCCACTGGGAAGCAGTTCTTGTGTGAATATCTCTGTAATTTAGTTCAATCACTGCTTTTTCAAAGAGAACGAGAGGGAGGGAGGGTAGAAGGAGGCATAGCATTTTCTTGTACTGCACCAAAATGCTGTTAAATTAAATAAAGGACCTGCACTGTCTGATTCAGGATGAAGCCACTTTATCCATAAAATTAAAAAAAGAGAGCACCCCCACTGATAATTTTCAAATTGATTTAATTAACCGGACCTTTTCAAAGCAATCTGTTGTCTACCGCAATGCTCCTCATAGATCTGTCGAGGACTACATTTAAATGAATATGAAAAAGTTAAAGGCCAAACTAGATGTTGCTACAAACTGACAGTTGCCTCCAAAATTGGCCATCGTAGAAATAGGTCCTGAGATGACCACACACCCCCAATCATTTAGGAGAGTTTAGTTTGGTATTATCCTAACACTCTGCGTTTCCTTATACTTGCTCCATAGCCTGAACTGCTGAAGAAACTACATAGATTCAGTGACTTCAATATGTAACTTAACTTCCTCTAGATGTTATAACAGGTGGCAGTGGTGGGAAACCAGGTGTAGGGTGGATTTTTTTCACCAGTAAATCCTTGTTTTCCACAGCAGGGGTTTCATGCACAGACACAGGTGTTGCTAAGTATGGTAATCAAAATAAGGATTATAATACAATGGTGCCTCGCTTAACAGGCGCCCCGTTTAACGACGAATCCGCATAGCGATGAAGATTTTGCGGAAGCGATCATCGCAAATGGCCCATTTTCGCACAGCTTATCGGCGGGGCTTCGCGATGATCGCGGGGAAGCGCTTCCACCCATCATCCTGAAGCCACGCTGATCAGCTGGGCGAAAATGCTGGCTTCCACAGCAAGGGGTTTCATGCACAGACACAGGTGTTGCTAAGTATGGTAATCAAAATAAGGATTATAATACAATGGTGCCTCGCTTAACAGGCGCCCCGTTTAACGACGAATCCGCATAGCGATGAAGATTTTGCGGAAGCGATCATCGCAAATGCCCCATTTTTGCCCAGCTGATCGTCAGGGCTTCGGGATGATCGTGGGGAAGCACTTCCCCCATCATCCTGAAGCCCTGCTGATTAGCTGGGCGAAAATGCCGGTGGGGGCTTTGGGAGGACGCGGAGAGCGCTCCCCCGCGGTCCTCCCAAAGGCCCCATTTTCCCCCCATCATCCCGAAGCCCGACCGATCAGCTGGGCGAAAATGCCGGCTTCGGGATGATGGGGGGGAAGGGCTTCCCCCCATCATCCTGAAGCCCCGCCGATCAGCTGGGCGAAAATGCCATCGGGGGCTTTGGGAGGACGAGGGGAGCGCTCCCTCATGGTCCTCCCAAAGGCCCCATTTTCACACAGCTGATTGGCGGTTCCAAAATGGCCGGCTGCTGTGTCGCCTCATTTTAGAGGCACCGAAAATGGCCGCCCCTATGGAGGATTTTTGCAAAAGGTGAGTTTTTAAGCCCATAGGAACACATTAAAAGTGTTTTAATGCATTTCTATGGGCTTTTTTATTTCGCATAGCGACGAATCCGGATAGCAACGATTTTTCCGGAACGGATTATCGTCGCTATGCGGGGCACCACTGTATAGGGAAAGCATTCTTCAGTCCTATTCACAGATCTTATCTACATGGGACTATTTGATACACGTAGGAGCCAATAAGCAGAGTTAAGTCATTTTCTGAGGCAGACATTTTAATCAGTTACCACACACTGTGACTATGGTCATGACAACATTTTCATACAGGTGTCTCATCATGTCATCTTTTGCTTGTAAACTGCCAATGAAGCCACACACGTCTCTACATTTACAAGGACAAATCCAAATACAGTACTAAACAAATCAATAAAACACTAAAAGCTTACAGTGGAATGACAATACAAATTTTACTGTGGTACTGAAAGATCTAAGCTCTGATGAAGTTTGCAGAGAAAGTCACTCATGTGCAGATTTACATATTGAGGATGTTAAGGGAACTCTAGATAAAAATCCACTAAACACATTGCTGCAAAACAGCCTCCATTCATTTCAGAGAGGGGGCTGTGCAGGGTCCCCATTCAGGGCCTAGAGGACTGTTGCAGTTACTAGTACATAAATATTGATTCCTCTGTTTAAATTACTCCTTCACATAGACTACTAGCTTTCTTATTGGCTTAAAAGCCCCAATTTTCTTTTTACAGACATAATATGTCATGTGTTCCACAGCTGCAGTCGTAAGACATAATTTTCAGAAGCGCAACATTCAAAATAGTTTTAGAGACTTGTCAGCACTGGATCACATCTTGATGACAAGAAATGTGGTGGCATATATTCATGGTTGCATTTAAAAAAAAAATCTGGAACACATGGACATGTTTTTAAAGCATCCCACTAAAAATCAGAACTGGGCCAATTATTGGTTGCCATTCACTTGAGTATAATGTTTTTGGCATACCTTCCAATGTAAGTAAATGTGCAGTACCCCTGGTACAAACCACATTAAAATGAACATACATGGAGCAGTTACGCTTGGAAGATCTGCACTTGTACAGACCAATGAAACAGAGCCTAACAGGTGAAAAGAGTGGACCCTCTCACTACAACACATACAGAGGCTCCTGGCATGAGGACCACAATCAGATCGTGGGTCTTTTCCTCTCTTGTGCCAGATTTTATCTCTAACCTGATTGTCATGACCACACGTGTTTCTTTGTCCCTGCCTAACATGACTGGCTGCTGGTGGACAAACTCATCAGGACATTATGTAGGTATTGTTTGCAACATGGGAGGCAACAGGAACTTGGTAGGGAGACACCATTATTTGTGACAGCTTGGTATTTAGAGCAATATGAAGTTCTACTCAGAGCAGGTCTACCTAGTTCTTGGTGCAAGTGGAGGGAGAGAGCTGCTCCTTCCAATTTCTTCTAGGGAGTGGCTCTTCCTATGAAGGTCCATGACCTGAAGAAGCATTATCTAACTCTGAACTGACAAGACAGCTTCTTGGCCAAGTCCAAGCCCTGTATAAGCCAAGAGTCCCAAGGTGCTTTGGACTGCAGGACGTGTACAGGAAGGAACGCATGAGCAAGAGAGGTATGTTTAAAAACAAAAACTCAGGAATGTCTAAAAGGAAAGGTACCAAAAAGTTTTTCTTTCTTCATTTATGCCATTGTAACATTCTGGTTCAAAGAATAAAAGTGTGCTGGCTGGATAGCTCAGTGAATTACAGGTATCTGGCACTGAAACCAAAGTTTGGTAGTTTGGTTTCCCACTGTGCACCCCAGAGGAAGAGCCAACTTGTGCACCCTTGGGCAAACTGCACAGTCCCAGTGTCTCCCCAAAATGCAAAGATGGTAAACCACTTCTGAGTACTCCATAACCAGAAAACTCTGAAAAAGGTTGCCATAGGTTGGAATCAACTTGACAGTACACAGTTATTTAAACAAACGTGTATGCAATCTATGTTTTATCTGGCCTTTTCCAAATCCTACAGCCACTTTTCATAAATATAATATAAAGCCATATTGCAAAGGTTCACTTAAAAGAGAAAAAAAAATCAACACACAGAGCTCATATTCCACAACCGAATTTTTACCACACTAAATACAATATTTAAGTTTTGCTAGAATTAAAAATAAAATAAATGTACATCTCTGGGAAACATTCCTAATGATCTTTAATTTCTTTATCAGTTTTTATAATCTTAAACAGATATGTTGATGGCCGTCTATGTAATCCTAGTTACACGTACAGTGTATTGAACAGACCAGGTAGTTGTTTAACAAAAATATTAATTAAAATTAAAGATCGATGTAGACATGAAATGCTCTGATGCAACTCTGTTAAAAATAAGTGTAAGAAGCACAAAGATACTGCTCTTTTACAACTTAAATTCATTTTTGTGGGGATTGTGCAGAAGCAGTACTTAAAACACAGCACAGTACATTTTCACTAAGAAGTGATACTTTTCTTGCCTTCATTCTTCAAGTTCCACTTCTGAATTTTCTACAAGTTTCATTTTTGTTAAGGTTGCTAGCATACACTAAGAACTCTGCATTTCCCCTGGAAACAAATTAAAGAAAATGCAAGAAGTAACCACAGTCACAAGTATACATGCACTCAGATGTACCGGGATTTAACCAAGATGCTTTGTATACCGTTTCCCCCATTGTCCTATGAACACAAACCTGGTGCTGTTCAGGCAAAAATAAATACGTGAGACATGGTAGATATGTTAACATTAACTGTTTACAATACAAATGGTCTGCTTGATACAGGAAATGCTCTTCTGACTTACTAAAACTGAATTAACATTTTCATTCCTGCAGTAATGATCAGTGATGTGTTTTGTGAAATCCTTTCAGCACTTACCGTACATCTTTATCCTCTGATAAAATTAAAATGCTGGAAATGTGCTGTATCATGATTATTGTATATCACAATAAAATGCAATGGTGTAAATGTGAGAGACCTTCATATCCTCACCCTGCTCAGTGCAGGAGAAAACACTGGCAGATATAAATATCTATATTAGCAGCAAAACAAAACATTTATATTCATATGCCTTCTCCTAGCCCTGCACAATTTTCATTAAAAACAAAAGAAATGAACACCACAGATGACATTAATTCCATCTTCCCTGACATAGGAAACATAAAATTGCCTTTTCACTCATTAAAGTATGCCACCAGTTCCAAATCAATCAAGAATGTATAGGAGGAAGCCATTCTCATATTCCCCTCTCCCCTTTCCCATATATTTTCTTGCAAAATTCCAAGCTAGACAAGTACGATACACCTTTAATGCTGAGAACCAGCATCTCTAGTGGACATCTAGGAACTGCAATGCACATGGAGGGCCATCTTTTTTTTTTTTTCAGTAAAGCAAAGAACAGTAAGAGGGTGCTCTTGGACAACTGCATGAGTATTTAGTGGCCTACCTCTCTGGACTGAGATTTGCAGTATGGTTCCCCCCCCCCAAAATAAATAAATCATAACCCACGGATCCTCCAACAGCTACTGGAAGGATGATCTACGTAAACAAATAAGCTTTTGGTAAACATCAGGATGCGAAATACTTTTTTTAAAGAAAAAAAAGGTTTTTAAAATCCAGAATAGATTTTTTGTAGCCTTTCAGAAAGTGATTAGATTCAGCCCAGCTTAAATATTGTGACTGACGTGCTTGTTTTTGAAGTCGATGAAATTAACATCCTTGAAAGTCTTACTGAACCAGCCGCAATCCTTCTCAAGATCCTCTCTCCTGCCCTAATGAGAACCCTACATGCCGGCATAACTGCTATATAGGCTGCTGAGCTGATATGCACCCATCTAAAGTCAACAACAGGCTTAAGCAGGGCTCTGCTGTAGAGGAGAAGCAAGCAGAATAAATGCCACCTGTTATCTTGTGGGATAGCTTTTGTGGATACTAGTGTGGACCCTCCAGTGTTAAGATGACAAAGAGGGAGATAAGATTTACAGGGGACTTTAAAACAAAATTGTATTTAGAGGAAGCAAAAGATGAGCATGCCTATCCAGACTACACCACAAATCTATGTTCTTTGCCATCATGAGCCATAAGAATAACATTGCGGTTGGAAGTCCAGATGAGCCTGGCCAGTTTGAGGGCATTGTGGGAGCCTGGAGATGCAGGTTGGACCGGGGGGACCTGGTATGTTTTGATACAACGGAGCTGTGGTGCAGAATTCAGCATTCCAATACTTCCTAAAAGAGAAGTGTTCATCTGTCATCAGGAAACAAAAATATGAAGAAAGAACATTAATGACACTGAAGGATTTGTTCATAAAGAATACAATAGTATAACATGTGTGACATCTTCTATTAGATAGAAAAGCCATCCAATAAGACTTCCTGGTAACAACAGTGTGGTTTCTGTCTTATGTGAGCTTGAAGCATAGGCTGAAATCATGTTGCTTAGTGTAGTGAGTTGCAACTAGAGAAGGCCCATTGAATCAGTAGGGATTTGATGAGTCCGCTCCTCCATGAGTTCCACTGATTGATTTAATGGGTCTACTCCAGTTGCAATTTCTGATATTGTGCAACAGGATTTCAGTCACTGTTTCATTCCCATCATCTTATATTGATAAATGCTGCTTTAACTATTGCAAGTCAATGAAAACGTTGCAAATCTCAGTTATGCAGTTAAAATATACACATTTAACCACTTGCATTTTGAGAGCAGTCCCTAAAGACTCTTAAATTACAGTTGACTAAAAAGATAAATTATTTTAAAGTCCCTTTTTAATAGTTGTATTTAGAAATTCACCATCTCACTCATTTAAAAAAGTAAAAAAAAAATTACACAAAAACACTCCAGTATAGGCAGGCCTTAAGTTCATAATGATTTCCTTGATTGCAAATGACTGGCAAGTTTGGCAACCAAAATAGAACCATGACATTTCATAATTTGCTCTAAAATCTGATCCTGAAATCAGAATTTAGAGAAATTTAATACTAAACATGTTCTTAATTTTTTTAAAAAACGAATTCCCAGTCTTCAAGAGTGAAATGTGGAAACTATTTAAGAAGAGCTTGGAATAGTAATTTTCTGGTCTGCTAGGATCTTCAGATGAACCAATATTCTTTTATGCTGAATTGTGACCCCCCCTGCCCCCCGAATTTGGTCTACCCAACAGGACTTCCATGACAAAATGTACGTGAAAGGCTTCTGGCATTGTATGAATATTAGAGATTACTGGCACTGCAGTTTTTGCACACATTTGAACTCCAGTTTAAAGGGATCCGTCTGTATAGTTCAGAGTCTGTCCATATATTCTTATGCATAAACAAATCTACTTCATCCTGGGAAGTGAATACAGACATTCTAATTCCACATGCTCAGTGGAATTCCCATGTCTCTGCTTTTTGTTGTTGTTTAGTCGTTAAGTCGTGTCCGAGTCTTTGTGACCCCATGGACCAGAGCACATCACGCCCTCCTGTCTCTGCTAGATATCTGAAATGGTCTAATGGAATGTGCGTGTTCGTATGTGAGTGTGTGTGTGAGTGTGTGTGTGAGAGAGTGATTCAGCTCCTCCTTTCTTCCACAGAGCAGGTTAATTCACATTTTATTAAAATGTATTTTCAAATTTAAAAATATGCAATTACAGTACTATACCAAAAAATAAAGTAAAAATTAAAAAAACTAAAATTACAATTTTTAAAAAAATCACAACAATATCTTGTTTGTGAAGGGAGCTCAGATTTTTCCCCTTCTAAACTATCATAACTACAAAATCTGATCCTGGGAACAAAAATCCCTAGTTACTGCAACTTTCTGACAAATGATGTATGTGTGTATTTGACAATGTATGTTTTGAAAGAGTGGAGGATGGGGAAGAGGATAAAGGAAGCAACAACAGAATCTTTCATATGTCTATCAGTTCTTTAAGCAAAATATCAAGGGAAAGAACCATTATATACTGGGGCTTCCAATTTACCAGGCAACTGTTCAATTTAGATCACTTTTGTTACATATGAGATGTGCTTTAAAACAAAGACATAAAGAAGCAGTCCATATACTGGTTTAGATGCTGTTGTAATCAGCCAGATACATTAGGATCTTTGAATCGGAATAGAACAGGTGTGGGCTTGAGGGTCTAAGACAAGAGCCTGTGACTTTGACACATGAAAACCTTGGCATATCCTAGGACATTTTTAAGATCTGCTATTGTCAATATCATGTTCTGAATCCTGATCAGTGCAACACAGAAGCCATTACTTTTTCCGTGGTCCTTCTCAGCAGCAGAATGGTGTCAGAGAGTGTAAATCATGGCATCTGTAGCAGAGAGCATGCAAGCCCCAGTGACATTTTCACAATTTAAATCATCTTGAGTAATAACCCTTTTAAGATGACTAATGTTACTGATTTTCCTGCATTAATAGTAGTGCTGAATAGACCACTATAAGGGGAGAGGAGGAATCACTAGTGCACGAGGTTACATTTTTAAATACAACATGTGGGCTAATTTTAACTCTTTGCATTAAGGTTATCTTTTAAACATGCAAAAAAGTAAATAATCAAGAGGAAAAAAGGAAAAGAAAAAAACCAAAGGAAAAAAAAATAAAACAAAGAAATCGGTTAAAAAACATATGAGGTTTGAAGTGCCACAGTTTATATGTTAAAGCATGTGCCTGTGAGGGAACATTGTCTGTGCCACCCCCTGCAATCTTAAGATCATCATGTAAAACATCTCAATCAATACGTCTGACTGCCTCCTCGATCTTCCCATGTAACTCAACAAAATATATGCAGGTGATGGAAGAGCATTTTTACCACTCTTATTCTCTGCGTCAGAAATCACACACTATGTGATGATGGAGAATAATTCAATATTCTTAATGACATGTACAGTTATCACTGAATGACATGCAGAAAGTCATGGCAGATTAAAGATATATATTATTAGCTAACAGTTACAGGAATACTGAATCCAAGGAAGCTATATATTCTGCGATCTTTCACAAAGCTGTCTGCCTGCGTAAGCTGCAGTTCTAGACAAAAGGCACAAGCTAATGAGAAGATTCACTTTGGAAGCTCCAGTGAAACAGTGATTTCTAAACAATTCATGGAACTCTAATTCATTTCCACAGGATTTGGTTACCTTGTTTTGCTAATGCAAGCAGGTGATGATATTCCTCCTTGACTGGATTTCTCATACTTTAGAAAACAGTATAACTGTTTAAACTAGATAACTCTCACTCATGAGATTCTCTATTATCCTTTGTTTTGCATCAATTTCCACAGGATTGCTGAGCAAAATGTAGCTACTTAAGGCTATGTTTGCATCCCTACGTAACCCAAAGCCCCCAAGTTAAAAAAAAAGTATGAAACAAGGGTACAAAAATGTTATTTTATGTTTCTGGAAGCCTTCAGGAGTAACAGTTGTGCTATTATACTCAGAGCCTTCAAAATCTTCAGAAAGTCCTACAAATTGAAAAGTGAAAACAAAACTGGAAGAAGAATTCCAGAACCCAGTCCTACCTATTTCTTATATTTTAAGGAGCTGGTTACGAGTGGATCCAAGGAGTGGAAAAGTGGCATATAATCATTGCCAGTTATGTAATCATGCTCTAGATTAAAGGGGAGGGGCTCCAAACACAACATTCACATGGTGGGGTCAAAGATATACAGCCAGCAACTATTGTGAAAAATTCTCCCTAGGGAAGCCAGCTAAGGTTTCAGTTATTTAAATCAGAAAAACCTCCCTGTTTATGCTAGATGTTAGTGGTTTAGTTTCCTTATTCTTAGAGGTTTGAGGAAAGAGTAGAAGGAGATTGGCTGAGGCTTCAATATTTAGAATTAGTTATGGTGTCCTTTGACATGTTACCTCACTGAAGCCTCCAAACTCTCTATAGAAACATGACTGCTAAAGAAAGCCTTCGAGAATACAGTGGTGCCTCGCAAGATGAACGCCCCCGCAAGACGAATGATTTTTGTGATCGCTGTGGTGCCTCGCAAGATGGCTTCTTCTATGACCGTGCTTCACAAGATGATATTTTTTTTGCAAGATTGATGCCTTGCAAGACTAAAATAATTCATTCGTCTTGCCAGGTTCCCATAGGAATGCATTGCAACCGTTTTTTGCAAGATGAAAATTTCACAAGACAGCGCTACTCATGGAACGAATTACTTTCGTCTTGTGCGGCACCACTGTACAAATCTTTTTTTCCTCTGCTCTGGGGACTTCTGTTCATTGTAAAAAGTTTTATGCATATTTTAGGATGCTTGAGATTAACATGGCATTCTGGCCAGGCTTCTTGGATCATGCTGCTGCACTGTTTATTATAATTAGATTAATGTAAATACAAACATCAAAGTGGTGTCATAAATGTCACATGTGTAACTTACCTGCCAGAAGGAAATGTGACTGTCTGTGTTGGAGTAAGTAGCAAGATACCGTCCATCAGGAGCAAAAGCAACAGCGGTTATGGACCCTTTATGGCCATGGATGGTCTAAACAAGAACAAGGATGAGATTATGAAATTGCACCACGCAGCAATGTATGTATATATAAACATTATTGATATACTTTGAGAATGTTTAAATACAACTCTTAAGAAACGATACACTAAAACATTCTATTAAAAGAAAGGTATACTACCTGTAACATTTAAACTTTTGACAATGGGATTACATATAGAGTTATACAGAGAGTTGTATTAGGTGGTACTTTACCAGTAAGTGCACATCAGTGAAATACCAATAACCATCAATGGCAATTTCCACTACATGAATCTGCCACTTTTAGAACCAGTTTGTCTAACAAGGAAAACCAGACATCTATGATAGAACTGCCTTTCCGATGGAATTCTGTACAGTGGGGTCTTGATTTGAGAACTTAATCCGCATTGGAAGGCGGTTCTCAATTCAAAAAGTCTGTAAGTCAAGCCGTCTGTAAGTCAAGGGTCCACTGTACTTGGACAGATCAGGACTGAGTTTTTCTTCTAAAATGCATTTAACCTTTTGTAAACATGTACCATTGGAGATACCGTGTTTCCCTGAAAAGAAGACAGGGTCTTATATTAATTTTTGCCCCAATAGAAACACATCTTCAGGGGATGTTTTTTTTTTCATGTACAAAAGGAAAACCAGACATCTATGATAGAACTGCCTTTCCGATGGAATTCTGTACTTGGACAGATCAGGACTGAGTTTTTCTTCTAAAATGCATTTAAATTTTTGTAAACATGTACCATTGGAGATACCGTGTTTCCCCGAAAAGAAGACAGGGTCTTATATTAATTTTTGCCCCAAGAAACACATTTTCAGGGGATTTTTTTTCCCATGTACAACAATCTACATTTATTCAAATACAGTTATGTCATCATCTTCTGGTTGCACAATGGTGGAGGGCAGGGTTTCACTTAATTGGGGCTTATTTTGGGGGTAGGGCTAATATTACAAGCATCCCAAAAAATCGTACTGGGGCTTATTTTCAGGTTAGGTCTTATTTTCGGGGAAACAGGGTAATAACCAAGATTATGGATACTACGGTATTCCAATTACCGTGTACAGATGTGAAAGCTTTACAGTGAAGGCAGCTGAAAGGAAAACCCTTGATTTATTTGAAATGTGGTATTGGAGGACAGCTTCACTACTACACAGACAAGCAAATGAATGCTAGATTAAATCAAGTTTGAACTCTCTAGGAGCAAACATGACTACACTTGGGCACATTATGAGGAGGCAAGACTCGCTGGAAAGGACAAAAATGTTGGAACAAGTGGAGGGCAGTAGGTAGAGTAAGATTAAAGATGGGATGGTTTGACTCAAGAAAAGAAGCCACGGCCATGAGATTGCAAGACCAGAGCAGTGCAATTAATGAAAAGATCTATTAGGAGTTCAGTAATCCATAGGGTCACCACGTAGGAAGCAACTTGGAAGCACGTAGCAACAAACTACGCTATAATACAATGTACTGTTTCTATAGTTTTATATACTTTTTTCAATTTGTGCTCTTTTCCTTAACTCATGTTATGTTATTTGAATTTAGACTCTCTCATATTGGTACCCTAAATCAACTGAGAAATGATACCGTTGTAGTGCTTGTTCACCCTTGCCCTCTAGTGATGGTGGGAGTTGCTGCATTTTGGCAGCCAAATGGACAGTGTAACATGGAGTACAGCAACTGTAGGACAGTTCCCAGCAGATGATCATGGGAAGCTGCCTTTTCCCAATGAAAGGCAGGCAGCAGCTGGTTTTAGGTCAGATGACGTGCGTTATTCTTTTTCAAAAATCAAATTAAGTTTTCTTGTCCCTGGCCTCTCCATTTTTTTGCTCTCTGTTTTATATGTTTAAGTTAAAATTCACAGCACACTTGCTACAAATACACTGGAATCCAGGGAGCATCCAATGAAGCTCAGTAATTTGGTGGAAGATTGGAGATGGCAACAAGGAAGCATTACGGCAAGAGCCAATGAGGGTCACCACCTATGACAGCTTTAAAATAAGATTTTACACATTCATGGAGGATGGAACGATAAGTGGCTACTGGCCATGACAAACAGACATTACTTACAGTATCAGACAATACATGTTTCACAACATCTAGGGAACAGTACTGGGAAAGCCCTGGTATATGCCTGTGTGTTTCCCCATAGGCAGCTGGCTTTTTAGATTCTGAGAACAGAATGCACAGCCAGATAGGTCTGTGATTGAAACTGGCATGACTCGTCTCATGTTCCAAATATGAGTGGCACATTTATTACAACATCCTGCTGATTATAACGAAGTCGAACTGAGCGAGCAGAACACAGAGTTGGGAGCATTTGGAAATAAGATTTTTAATTATAATTTCTTGCTTGCCAGATTGGTGGTGGTGGTGGGGGAAGTGAACAGAACCACTCATCTTAAATAAACCATGTTCACAGTATATGGAACAATGGAGAAAAGAAACAGCAATATCAATACTGCAAAAATGGTAAGAACCTACTGCTGAATTTTCGTAAACCCTTTCCTATCACTTTGGAAATAAAACAGAAACGCTTGAAAATAAGGGGAGTGGCTTCCGAACAACTGAAGATCCTCCCGTGAATGAAGATGTACATTAGTTGCAAATTAAAATGCAGTCTTCAGAGATTTCTAGGAACAATGGAGTCATGAGAGAAGTGGGCTACCATGGATAGTATTAGGCCTCTTTTTTTCTTTTTAAAGGAAGAGAAAGGAAAGAAAATTAGTCTTCCCAATCTTTTAAAGAACCTAATATATTCTGAAAGGGTATAGGTAGGTAAAGGTTCCCCTTGACAATTTGTCCAGTTGTGTCCGACTCTAGGGGGCAGTGCTCATCTCCGTTTCCAACCCATAGAGCTAGCGTTTCTCTGAAGACAATCTTCCATGGTCACGTGGCCAGCGCGACTAGACATGGAATGCCGTTGCCTTCCCACTGTGGTGGTACCTATTTATCTACTCGCATTTTGCATGCTTTCGAACCGCTAGGTTGACGGGAGCTGTGACAAGCAGGGGGCCTCACCCTCTTGTGTGGATTCGATCTTACAACTGCAGGTCTTCTGACCTTGCAGCACAGAGGCTTCTGTGGTTTAACTTGCAGTGCCACCACATCCCATTGAAAGGGTATACCATGGAATTAAAAATTATACATGGTAAGGTTTCTAGGGAAAGAACAGAAAGGAAAGCAAACACCTTCTACTTTTCCAATCTAAGTCATCTGCATACCTTGTTGTCTACAAACATAAGGCTCAGATTCCTGAATGCAAGCCCTTTTTTTGCCCTATATATTAGAATAGGAAAAGGACTGAACGAAAAAAAGAAGAAGGCTTTTCTTCCTCCCTCTTCTGCTGCCTTTTCTCTTCCAAAGCTCCCTTTGAAGCCGACTGGCACCTTAGACAGCGATGGTTCTTTCAAAATGTGGAACTAGAATGGAATAGTCTGTAGTGGAGCCTCATCTCCATCTCTAGAACAGTTATGCATCCTTCAGAAAAACATGGGCCATGACCTGACAAAGAACACAGGTGCCTATCTCAGTGACAACTCTCACTCACCGACATCACAAGCAAGATCAGTTCTTTTTCTTTTTTCTTTTTTAAAAAGGGAGAGATTCCATTCACACGTTTCTGAAAAGAAGCGCCTTCGCTATTGCTTCAGTCCACTAAGGTGTTTCGGTGGGATTCAAGGAAGATTTAGACTAAGAAGTCAGGAGGCAAAGTATGCATGATTGTGTCTTCCCTTGATGCACAGAGGGTTCTTTTGACCTATGCTGCTGCCTGACCTTTCTGCCGAGTGGGTCAACTGGCTGTGGAGAGAATATCCATGTAGGGCTTTTAGCAGACTGTGTGATTCAATGAGCTAGTTATATTCCTACGGTGACCACTCTGTTATTCCACAACGAATGCCTAGTGTTTCCTCTTCTGGTTAAACAAGTGTAAGCACAGGAAGAGGATTTATGCAAAAGCTAAAGCAAAAGCAAAATTACAAAGAAGTTATATTTTATGAAACACAGATATATCGTGCATTATTTCCCCTGAGTGTATTCTGAGGATGCAAGCAGAACAATGGATAGTATGTGTTACTTCAGTCATCCTTACAGCAAAAATGTAAGCTAAGCCAGGATTTGATTCCTTGGGTACAATGCAGGAGTTGCATCGAAGGAATTTGCCATAAGTAAGGCTCCCTCAACTTAGACCCCTTCCAGAGTGTAAGAAGGTTTTCCATTACTCAGCTCTACCTAGAAATGCAAAGAATTGGAATCTTATGCATACAAATGAGGTGGTCCAAATTGCGGGCTTTTCCTCTTTGGTTGGATTATCGTTGCTGCAACTTAGCTAGCGTCCCTTCAGTGAATGAGATCTTATGCTTTGCTTTGACAATGGGTTTTGTTTCGATAGTTGAATTTTTCTCTAACAGGCAAGCCACTGGACTGATTGGGGTGTCTGAAGGCTCAGCACTACATGTGATTAGAGCGTTAGGTAAAAGACAAATTCTTGGGGCTCAAAATGAAATTAAAAAGAAAGTGTGCAGCTTTTAACTTGATGCATACATGTTGTTTATTCTGAAGACTGGGGAAACTATAAAGCCACCCTTCCCTGCTGCCAGCACTGCATGGTTCCCAAACACACTCTGTCTAATAGGGCTTGTTTTGCAGGTTTTTATCCTCATTTGCCCTTTGACGCAGGAACCCTCTTGGAATGCCACAGGCTTAGAGCATTTTTCCTCTCATCTGGTAACTGACACAGTCATTTATATTCACTCGACATAACTTGCAGGGTGTAATTAAATAAAGATGGACCACTGCCATAAATACATTACAATGCCAGCCAACCCATGGTGCCTCATATTGTCACGTGTAATTCCAGCCTGTGTAACACATTCCTGTGAACAATGTGGAAATCAATACTTTGCACTTTTACAGTGTCACTGCTATGTCTGAAGCCTTGAAGGCATCACATCATACATCCTTCATCTTGGCACAAGTCCCTAAGAGCAGATCCACTCAAGCT